TAAGGTTAAAAGTGTGGAAAATGTTAATCAACGGCTTGTGACTCCCTGTCCACCGTTAATGAACTGGCATCTCTCTGATGACATACTTAATATACCATTTGCGAACTACATAAGATTAACAAATTTAAGCAATTTATTCATAATTACACATAAAGTTAAAGCAAATGTTAAATGATTTCAAGTTTATTTTATTGCACTAGACTGATGTTTATGTCTTATGCATTGCAGGTTTTTTTTTTCTGATTGGAAAATAAAAGAATTTAAGATCGGCAATGGTGTTGTCATCTTTTTCCTGTTTACATTTGGCGTATTCAGCAGGATTTTCTATCCAGAGACCCCGGTTGCAGTGATCAACGTATTACTTTAGAGCAATGGCAGAAGACTTGGAACAACGTTTGGCGGAGGTGGAAAGTCTCTTGGAAGGCATGAAGGTAGCGATGGAAGCGAAAGATGCTGAATTGTCAGTGGCAGCTGCTCAAGCTCAAGCCTTAAAAAGTGAGGTAGACCATCTTAAAACCATGCAGGGAAATGCTGATGTGGTTGATGTAACTCCACTTGTCTCACCTGCCAACTCAGAATCAACTGTTAGTCAAGGGTCATCTAAGTTAGTGTATTTGTCCACAGGTAGAAAGTTGGAAAGGTTTGGGGGGAGATCTATGTCGAATCATGAAGCTTCGGCGGAAGAATGGGTCGAAGATGCCCAAATGATTATGGAATCCAAGGGTCTAGGGGATAGTGAGAAAGCCTCATTCTTACATGAACACCTCTCTGGGAAAGCCCGGAAGGAGATTTTGGGCAGGGGGGGAGGCCATAAAGAAAAGTCCTAAAGATATATGTGAAATTCTGTGTAAAGTTTTTGGGGACAGGCAATAGCCTACCTCAGTTGCAACAAAAATTCTACAGTTACAAACAGGCAGAAGGTGAAGACCTGGTGTCTCTTTCACTAGAGCTGGTAAACCTACAGTATGTGACAATATAATCCGATTAGATCCATCCTTTTCTCATGCCAGGGAAAATTTGTT